CGAACTTTCAGAATAGCATAGCATAAATGTACCACCGTGCAACATCGATGTATTCTATGGCGATTTTCTTTCCTGGCCAACCTTCACGGATTTCTTTCAGCGGTCTATATAAACTTATCTCGTTTAAACGAAATAGAAAAACTGTGTCACCTTCACAAAAAGACGAGTGGAGAAGGTTGAGATACTGTCGCTAAGTTTCCCATGACACATAAAAGTTTTAGTTTAGTTTGGAAAGCTTTGAAGGAAACCTACAATAATGTGCGTATTGTAGTGAACAATCAATTAAAAGTTATTTTCGATCTTCCAGTGCTTGAGCGCGAGTCAAGTTCAGGTTTAAAATTTGCAGCGTGGAATAAAAAGTTGTTTCTCCGCTATGGCTTTGTACGATGTTCTGACCGACGGTTGGGATCCCATATTGGTATTTCTTTGCTTGCCAAGACTTCCCAAACAAACTGTTACCATATGGGAACAATATGTAAAAGGCAAGTCTGCTTTGTCGTCTTGGAAGGATTTGGATTTCTTTCTTTCGGAAAGAATCCAAACTTTAACTTGTCTTCGAGATCTAGAAGTTATAGAGGAGTCAAAAAGGGGTGACAGTAAACTGGTAAAATCACATTTTACAAATTTTGCCAACCCACTTCCTGCATTTTCTTCTCATTCCACTAGAACATCTGCTGATAAATGTTGCTTGTTATGTCGAAGGCAATCTCACCATTTAAGAATATGTCCGGAGTTTAGAAATCGTTCATTACCTGATCGCTTTTGTATTGTAAAATGTCACCTTTGTTGCATCAATTTCCTCTCCCGAGGTCATGATGTCAAAAACTGTAGTAGCGCATATAGTCGTGAAACTCCTACAATTGGCATCTCAGCCAATAAAGTACCGCCTTCTTCCAATGGCCCTTCTTCCACAAGTAATATTCCAGAATCTGTCAATCACAATCCAAACCTTCCATCCACTTCGTCTGGCCAATCATCAAGTTCAGTGAATCGACAGGTATTTCATAAATCGCAAAATAGAACAGTTCTTTTGGGCACAGCAATGGTGAATATAGTTCACCAGTGTACTATGTATCCAGCTCGTGCACTGATTGATCCAGCCTCCAAGGCATTCTTTATTACTGAAAGGTTGCAAAAACGTATAGGTCTTTGTACATCATCCACCCATGCTACTACTTCAGGGGTGAATCAAACTGTGTCCACACAGTCCAACAAATTGTGTTCGTTCAGTCTTAATTCATGTATACATAGGTCACTTTTATAGAGATAACCGCGTTAGTGGTTCTTACCATTTCAGGAAATCCATCATTTGTTGTTAATAGTGATATTTCATCTCCTCTGTCCAATTTACATTTGCCAGATTCTTAGTTATTTGACTGCAGACCTGTTGATATGTTGCTAGGTTCAGACGTATATCGCAAACTTGTGCTAGATGGTTTGCAATCTAATATTCTAGGCTCATTAAATGCGCAAAACACTGTGCTCGGCTGGATCATTACTGGTCCCCTTTCACCCAACAACATAAGTGTTTTCTCTACCAATGTAGAATATTCTTAATAAGACGCTTCTTAGATTTTGGGAATTAGAGGAAATTCCAAAACGCTCAATCTTGTCTCCAGCTGTCAAATATTGTGAAGTTAATTATAGACGCACGACTAGAAGGGACTCCAATGGCAGATATATTGTCACTCTGTCTATTAAACCTGAATTTCACGTCAAACCTGATCTTAAGCATTCTAGAACAAATTGTTACGACAATTTATTCGTAATAATGCATCTCTTTTAAAAAGGCCAAATATTAAGCTACTTTATGAGGATGTATTAAAAGAATATTTAGATTTAGGTCATATGAGACCAGTATCCATTCCTTCTGGAGATTCTACATTTTGCTACTTGCCTCATCATCCAGTTATAAATTTAGAAAAGCGAACTTCAAAATTAGTCTTCAATGCGTCAAATAAAACATCAAACGTGTGGTCAAACGTGGAAAGACAAAATAAATATTGTTTGGTATTTTAGATTAAGTTGAACAAGTCAATAAAGAGGTGCATAGACAACGAAACTATAAGAAATGTCTGAGTTTCAGTTAACTAAAAGTTACATAAACACAGCAGCAATAAAGAACGTTTATGTTTAACCATTTAATTAATATTCGGGGCAGTTCTGTATTAAATGGCTGCATTTGTTTTTAAACTAGGTATTACGTGTCAGAATATACATTCTGTATGCATTATATACATATAATGCTACTGACTTCTTTGGATTTATTCATCCGAGCTACTAACGCTTTGGCGAAATTTGATGCCACTTTTAGTTCCCAACGGGACGAAGAGGTCGATGTTTACATCGTAGTATTTCTAGGAGCCGCAGTTAAACATTATGGGAAACATTTAAACTCGAATTTTACAAATTCCTTGATTCACGTAGGTAATCAAGGAAATGTTGTCAAATGATAAAGATGCTAATGAGCATGACATTTAAGACGAAGAAATCAAACATTTTGTCACCTACAAATATTTTTAAACGTTCTAGCGTATATTAATAGATAGCTATGTGTACTACAGACTCCGCAGTAACTTCCCCAATATCTCGAAGTTTTCAATGTCGATTTCCTAACCTGGCCTACATCCAGGGGCTTATTAACTGTCATATATATATATAAATATCGAGCGCTAATGTCATTTAAACAAAACTAGTGGTGATAAACATGAAATTCTGTCTACTTTTTCCCTTACAAACAAAAACTTTAGAATGGTGTGCATTATTTTCTACGTATGAAAATCCTCCAATTTTGGTGAAACACTACACTCCTCTGTGACCTTCCAATTGTAGACAAAGAAACTAGTGAGGGGTTATAAAACTACAGAGAGATAAAACAGGTGTATTTCGTTCCAATCTAATTATGATGTGTCGACAGAAGACTGGGATCCTATACTAGTTTTCTCGTGTCTTCAGAGATTGCCTAAGAACTATATGGTGCTTTGGGAATAAAGCATAAAAACAAATCTATTTTGTCTTCGAGGAAATATTTGTAACTTTTTCATGCGCGGCATTTTTCTTGTCTTCGTTGTTTGTCTAACGGACACGAAGTTTCTAAATGCAACAGCATTCACAACTGCACTATATGCAACAAACGGTATCACACACAGATACACATCACGGTCACGCCTCTCCAATCATTGACGTTTTTCATTGTAGCATCTTAGATCAGGTACATCTACCTACCACCTCTAGGGATATGATAACAGGATCTTCAATTAGAAAAGTATTTCATACTACCCGAACAGAAGAGTTTTTTTAAGCAGAGCTATGGCCCATATGTACCCATCTAGAAACTTAAAAGATCCCTCTACAGAAGAATTCTTTTTATCACCGTATGCAAAAAAATTGGGTATAGGCGCGAATGAAATTAATGAAACGAATACTTTGGTTTTGCCGACATTTACCGAAAATCTGCCAAAACTTTAATCAATGGTGTCACATTCCACAATTGTCAAATCTTAATTTGGCTGACCCTGATCCCTGTTGACCTACTACTAGGGGCAGATCTTTATCCCAAGATATTGCTACGAGGTACACATACAAACGTACTGAGTTCATTGATTGCGCACCGTTATCGGTTGGATCACTACTGATCTAAGGCTTGACTCCCATTTACAATATTCTATTTAGAAACTGTTCTTGTATTAAGATTAGGCTATACAACTCAGAATTTTGAGCTAATTGTCACGTTTTTCCGTAAGGAAGCTATTTTTCTGTAATTTTTTTACGTACAGGTCAGTTTTCCTTCGGATTTCATAGCCACACTTCTGTTTTTCCTTGCAACGTAAATACTTGCCTGCGACCATCTGCATCAACTACGACTATATGGTATTTAAATGGATTAAGTATAATTTTTAAACTTATTTTCCTAAAAATTCTTATTTGGAGTTCACTCCATTAACAGAGAATTGTTTCCTGTAGCGCTCGAATAACGCCACCTTCGGATATTCCGTATTTTTGACAATTAAAGCTAGACTTTCTATATGAACGGTGAAAAATTTGATATTTGTAGTTCATAATTCGTTCTACAATCGGTATCGGAACATTGTCCATATTGGTTCATGGTTCCCATACTCATCTTTATTCGGTATTTTAATGATCATAGCCAGATTTTCCATGGAACTTTTTTAAATGTGGTATTTAAAATTGGTAACCATAACTTTTAGGTGAAATTTATCCTTGCGAGTTTAAGAACATTTGCTGCATTTTCCAACCATCTCAGTGATATTTGTAGCTTAAAGTGGAACGCATTTGAATCCACACTCTTTTATTTAAAAAGGCTTTCCTTACGTAATGGTGGAGGGTTTTTGAAGTTCGGCCCAGGCGAATATAATGTTTTTTACTTGTTTCTATTTATCAATGTCCAACGTCTACTTTGGTCACTCGTTTTCAGTTATCCCGTTGTTACAAATGCTCTTGAAGCAGATTTTTTTTATAATACTAATTTTATGGTACTACTTATTTTTAATAATTTTAGCTTAAAAAATATAAATTGTCAACGAGCTTGTAATCAGTTTTAAAACGCACTTGTAAATATGGTCAAAAACTGCCGTATCTCCTAATCTGCCTAAAACTATTTAAAGAAACAATGTAAGTCCCGTTTTTGGCATTCACGTTCACAAGTAGGAATATGAATTGCTTAACTTGAAATCTAGGTAGTCGGAATTGGTTGATATTATGTGCATTGTCAAACATGATTGTTCATTTTGATATGTGACATTTATTGAATCACGTGCTTGCCGTTATCGTACTTATGTAAATCTAATTAGCATTTTGTTAGTTATTAATTACTATTGGTTTACTTGTTACCACCACGAAGAACTCGGTGTCGTATCGTATTTATAAGATGTTGAACGAAAATAAAATTGTAAAATACAACAGGAGATATGCTATTTATGAAGTTTATTTGAATTTTATATATGTATATATATATATATATATATATATATATCTATAAGGGATGCTTTGCTGGTTTGTACAATAAATTCAAGTACAAGTATGTTTGCGGGTTTTGTAATTTTTTCTGTAGTTGGATTCATGGCACACGAGCAAGAACGATCGGTATCAGAAGTGGCGGCGTCTGGTCCAGGATTGGCGTTTTTAGTATATCCAGCAGCCGTTTTGCAACTTCCAGGGTCATCGTTATGGTCATGTTTATTTTTTCTAATGCTTTTACTAATCGGACTTGATTCCCAATTTTGTACAATGGAAGGCTTTATAACAGCAATAATTGATGAATGGCCACAAGTTCTGCGAAGCCGGAAAGAACTTTTTATAGCTATAGTGTGTACTCTCAGCTATTGCTTAGGAATGTCTTGCATATCCCAGGTAAATTTTAATATATTTGAGGATAAGTGGTAATATATACAAAACTTTTGATTTAAAGGGAGGAATGTATGTATTTCAATTGTTGGATTCATACGCCGTAAGTGGTTTCTGTTTGCTGTGGTTAATATTCTTTGAATGCATTTCAATTTCTTGGTGTTACGGTGTTGATCGCTTCTATGATGGAATTAAAGACATGATTGGTTACTATCCAATTGTCTGGTGGAAATTTTGTTGGTGTTTTACCACACCATTGATATGCGCAGTAAGCACACATAAAGGCAAACCCCTTCAAATCATGTCTGAAAGCACAGGTATTTCATAGAACGGTGATGGTTCCATAAATATGGTCATATTTATCTAGAAGAGAGATAGAGACAAATTCTTGTGACATTTTATAAAACGACGCAAGAAATTTCGACTGCAAATTGTAAATTTGGTGGAAATGGCTTCGGATATAGCTACTGCTTTAAATATATAAACCGAATTTTTAATTAGGTCCCAGCAGCCCTAAAATACGCACAATAACAATAATTTTTAATACAAGATCATAGATTCACCACTTGACAAATTTATCGGTATGGTTTCGGATTTGACTAGACCAAATATATATCTTTTCGTCCTATTTCAAATTCGTTGCTCTAGTTATTGCTCCCATATGTATATATTATTAATTTCTGCAGAAGCACTATATACAAAATAACAATGATTTTTAATACAAGACACTACATTCACCTCTTCCTAACATTTGTCAATAACGGTTCACATTTAGATATAGCTCACATATATCACTTCATCCGATTTTAGGTTTGTTGTACACCAACTCAAAATGGATGGATATTGGCAGATTTCGACTTTAGAGAAAATCAAATCATATGTAGTAATAGTCTGCAAATTTTGCATAAGTCCGTACATTTTAATGAAATTTATTTTCGTTGAACAAGTGACGTATAATTACCAAGTTCAGTGATGTATAATTTACCAGGTTTTATGGATCAATTGAGAAATGGTAATAGAAAATCCCACCTTTTATTGCAGAAATCATAATAGTGTCGTGCAAATAAATTAAAACCAGGAACAAGACCCTTCAAGTGTTATTAAATTTCATGATTAATTAGTTGCTTGATTAGACGAAGATCCGCTATTTTACCGCCTAATTTTTCTTCAGTGATGAGGTGAATTTTAGGTTGAATGGATATTTCAACAAGAAAAATTGCTATGTTTGGTAAAGTCATCGGTCCTTTTTTATTTAAAAATTAGGAAGTGCGAAGTGTTACCGTGTTAGAAAAACGATACAGAATTATACTCAATAAGTTTTTCTTGTCAAAACTTGTTGATATGGATGTAATCCAAATATTATTTCAACAGGATGGTGCCACTTTTCGTATTGCAAACGAACAAATGGACTTATTGATACGTACTTGAAGAAGAGTAACGACTACAGAGTGCTAGAGGAGCACAATTTAGAGTAACTTGCCGATTTCAAAAATTCCACATTTTTTTCACAGACAAATTTCTGTCACAGACTATAGTATTTATTACGAAATTAGCCTATTACGAACTTAGCCATTTCTCCCATTGCCTATAGTATCCATTTCAAACTTCAAATACCAAATGTGAAACACTCCCGTGAATAATATCGCCAAAATCATCAAAATACCGAATATCCGAAGGTACCTTCATATGGGGGCTGTATAAAAACCTGGACCTACATAGCCCAATTACGAACTTGCCTACTGACGAAATAAGCATGTATGCAAAATTTTAGCCTTTTATCTCAATTCGTTCGAAAGATAGCGGGATTACAACAGACAGACGGACAGACATCGCTAAATCGACTTAGAATTTTACGCTGATCAAGAATATATATACTTGGTTGGGTCTGACCTGAGTATTTCGAGGAGTTAGAAACGGAATGACAAAGTTAATACACCCTCCCTAATATGGTGGAGGGTATAATAAACGGCACGAGTTAGCACAGATCAAGCACAACAACAACTTTTACGAAAATTGGAAAATTGCAATTCTCGCATACTTTCAAAATTGTCGGTTTGTAGGAATTGATAGGAGATATTGAAAAAATGATAATGGCACAAATAAGCACAAACCGAGTACAATTCAGCACAATTTTATTTTATTTATTTATTTATTTATTTTTTTTTTTTTTTTTGAAATTTAAAAATTGCACTTCTATCAGATTTGTTCGAAAATCTCAGAATTTCGAATATCTCATAAATCAACGAAAACTTTTTTTTTTCGAAAATTGCAATTCCCACGCACACCACATAAAAATGTGATATGTTCGGCAGGGTTAAACTTTTAATACTCTCCACCATGGCATAAAGAAAACTCTTAAAAATAATGGGATCCGGATTCCACATCCATTTTTGATGAGGAAATGGGTTGATAAAAAGTCTTCAAGGTGCCGTAAATTCGATGGTTCCGGTATTCAGTTAAAGTGATTATCAAAAGAGCCGATTCCAGCAGTCTTCTGTTACAAGATACAGAATCAATCACATACTCTACGTATACCGAATATCGGGAGTACTACAGAAGAAAAAAACCGAATTATACGCAATTCCGTTTAAAAATGTGAAATGTGAAAAACCAATTGCAATCTCAACGAATTTTAAACAAATCTGTTATCATATGAACCTATATTGACAATGCTCTACCACAAAATGTGGAACTCTCCACAAATTCAAAGTACCAGATTTTAAGAAATTTTATTAGAAAATGTGACATAAATCATTAAAATATCGAAAATCGAGAAGAATTGTCATATGGAGGCTATAAGAAAACTTCCCGTTACATATTCTAAGAACCGAATTTTTAACAAGTCTGTTACAAAATGTGATCTATCTATATTGAATATAGGGAGCTACTGTTATATTGGTGCTATACGCAAACGTGGACCGACATCTCTCATTTACAAAAATGACAAAGTTAATATACATTCCGTAGCATTGTGGTTGGTAAAAAAAAACCTACAAATAAATGTGACTGAAATCGCCAAAATTTTAAAGTACAAAATAATTTGTATATAATTTGATTGTTGGTGACGTGCTGGGAAAATCTAACAATTACTAATAAGTATTCCAAAATTGTGAATTTTTCAGCTGCGTAAAATGCGGCATGTGTACATGTGCGGCAGAAGGTAACTGCGCTGCCATATACGATAATGTGTAAAATAAACAAGTAAAGAGCTGTAAGTTCGGCCGGGCCAAACTAATATTCAAAAAAAGTAAAATCCATTAAAAATTCTGTTAAAATCTTCAAAATACTGAATGTCGCATATGCAACTTTTACTAAATTTTCTGTCACAGGCTGTAACATCCATTTCGACCTTCAAATTTGACATCTCAAACATTTCGGTGAGTATTGTACCTAAAATCGTTAAAATACCGAATATAGTGAGGTACTGGTATATGGGGCCTATACGAAGACCTGGACCTGCATACACAATTTTCTGTCACAGACTTAGTTCCCTTTACGAACTCCAAATACCAAATTTGAAACTACTCCGGTGAATAATGACGCTAAAATCATCAACATACCGAATATAGGGGGGGTACCATTATGTGGGGCGATACGAAAACGTGGACTTGCACAGACAATTTCTTGTTATAGCCTGTAGTATCCATTTCAAACTTCAAATACCAGATTTGAAACACTTCCGGTAAATAACATCGCCAAATTGATCAAAATACCGAATATCCGGAGGTACCTTTATATGGGGCTGTATGAAAACCTGGACCTACATGGCCCCTTTACAAACTTAACCTGTCTACTGATAAAATAAACATGTGTGCAAAATGTTAGCCTTATATCTGAATTCGTTCGAAAGATATCGTGAATATAACAGAAACACACAGACAGAAAGGTGGACATTGCTAATCGACTTAGAATTTTACGGTGATCAAGAATATATATACTTTGTTGGGTCTGACATGAGTATTTAGAGGAGTTACAAACGGAATGACAAAGTTAATATACCCTCCATAGTATGGTGGAGGGTATACAAATTTAAAAATGAATGTTTCCTAGATAATCCAGGAAAGTTCAGTAGCAGTAGATAAACGTCTTGTGTTAGCGCATATATTAATGGCGACATGAATACGAGGCTGTAAGCCGAATGGAGATACTGCACAAGTGGAAATAGAAAAATACTTAAAACCACCAGAAGGCTGAACCTTTTAACGTGGGTACTATATCCTCAGTCCGGAGGAAGTACCACTGGAAGCTGCGAAATGTGCAAAATTGTTTTTCTTACCTTTGCGCTGACAACCAATCAGAGGCGCCCGCATAAAACGAGTTGTGGAAAAGATGAAAAGGTTGATATTACATGCCCTTTGGACGACACAAGAGAAGCAAAGGAAAAAATTGGAAGCCAAGGTGGAAAGAATCGACACACCAGAGGTAGTGTGCAAAAAGTGAGCTTGTACGGTATGAATTTGAGAAGACAGAGAATAGAGCCACCAACAAGAGAAGAGCAAGGAGAAAATGTCTTTCAGCGAAGTACCGACGTACACCGGATTTCATGCCTTTCCATTTTGTAACTGCTGACTACCTCTGATTTGTCGACTTGCTAGTTTGCAATCACTTGCGAATTGAACAAAAATAAGACTTTATTCTATCTGAAGAATATAAGACACTGTGGCGCAGTGGCATGCCAGCTTTGCTCTCTGATCACCTCGGTTTGAGTATTTCATCTAATAAGTAAGAGTTCTATGCAAATGAACATTGGAAAAACTAACAATAAAACTAAAACAAAAATGCATATGTCTGAAGTAAATATTTTTTTTTTGTTTTTTTTTCTTCACTTCCAATAATTATCGAGGAAGTGACTTCCACGATTATTAGTAAACTATCGCGGGCGTGGTTCATCTCTTCCTGAAGGATGCTCCTTCCGGGGTGAGAAAGTGATATCAAACGCGATGATTTCTATCGCTTAGGCGTGACTTCTAAGGGATTTGGGGGATAGTTTTTGCTTGCTGGGAAGGCACAAAAACACAGAAATTTACACATGTGATAATTTATGGCCGCTGGGAATATGACAATTCTGAAATATGTATTTTATAATGTTAATTTTTTTCAATGCCAACACCGCACTTTCCACCTAGGCTAGCCCAAAGGCAGGAACAACAATTTTTGCGCATTCCATAGCTTCCAGCGATACTTTCTCCAGACTAAGAAAATAGTACTCACGTTGCAAACATCCGCTTTTGATGGTTTTAGGCACTATTAAATTTCCGCATGTGCTGCATTTCGATTCGACTTAGAAACTCGTGTTATCGTTGCCATTAATTAATGCGCTAACATGAGGCATTTATTCACTGCTATTGAACTCACATGGTTCTATCGGGAACGCTCTGTTTAAAATTTTTAAAATTTTTTGTGTAAAACTTAATAAGTGTTTTTAACAAGAATTTTGTATTATTTCATGTTTAGAATATTTGTATTACCGATGCTACTGTTGTGCAGAAATAATCTGAGTTTGCTTCATGATTCATATTTCTTGTCGGAGGTTCTTTTGAATTTAACCCATTAACGGCGACGGGTGCGAAAACGCACCAAAAATAGACGTGTTTTTTAGCATGCATTGAAACGGTTCCATATTTAATATCGCTTTTCTGTTTCTTGGTATAGATAGTAGATGGATTCGTCTATTTTTTAACTTTGACTGTTTTTTCATCAGAAGTCACCTACATGATGATAAACGCATCGCCAAGTGCAGGTTTTCCCACAAGCAAAAAATAACACTATTATACAAAGAAAACATATAGAAAAATAATATTTTTTAAATATGTATTGGTATGGATCGGTAGCCCTTTGTCCAATATTTAACTCATAAAATTTTCAAAATTGTACATATAAACGTCTTTGCATATATACGTGTTGTGCGTTTTCGCACCCGTCGGCGCTAATGGGTGCTTTTTTACTAAGAAATGTATTTTCGGTTAACCATATGTGCGAACGCTAATGAAGCGCTCCCAATCAAAATAGCTTTCACACTGTCTGCTCTCTGTCACGATATCTTTAATGTA